GTCCCAAGGCACAGATCTCTTAGAAGAGTGCTGATGGGAGGGAGCAGCATCGTTAGGCCTCTAAGGGAAAAGGAAGTGGAAAGAAGGAAGCTATCCCAGTGTGCTTACTGTCAACACCTCTGCTTGCAGTCTCCCATACCTCCTGTCAAGTATTCCAGGAAAAGCTGTTCTGGTTAAACCAGAGCATGGAAGTTGTGTTACCCTCTTTGATATTCCTTTTGTCTCTGGAGGAACAGTGCTGCTCATTGCACTGAGGGCAGGAGAGAGGAGATGCTGCCTCTCCATTAGCTGGGATTTTCCCCAGGAGAAGGAAAACCCCGGGCTCAGGTACAGAGACACATGTACAGCACTAATGGATGAACCTCAGGACAACACTGAAATCCCTGTGTCAAGCACTGTCTTACCAGTGATTATAGGTCTGTTGGACAACAAGGAACAACTAATCTCTTTAATTAAAGTAACAAAGATTAAATCCTCTTTCACAGCCACACACGCTTTGACTGAGTGGAATCCCTTTCTTGGCAATGAGAGAAATTACTGGTGGTGAGTCAAATCACCCTCTTCCAAGCAACCACCTAGATTTTTGTATAAGCAAATGATGTTTTACGCATTCAATGACTACATTTACTATCTAATTATAGCACTTTTCTGATTTCTAAAAAAAATAAAATAGTTCTTTGACTGTTCGTTAGTTGTTACAATTATCAGAAAGTCCCAGCTGAGAGGTACCAAGCACTGTCTGTGTAGTGCAGCTTAACAGCCTTTGCAAAACCATTCAGTGTGGGTGCTAATTATAACACAAAATGGTAAGTGGAAAATAGAATAGAGGCGAGACAGCTTAGCAAGACTAGATGGTTGTTTAATGAGATACAATCTTGCTGTCTGATTGTCTTGACAAAGAAAGTGTGGGTCTGTTATGGTGCTACACAGGAAATCCTCAAGAAAGTAGAGAAGAAAAACAAAAGAGGACTGAACAGAGCAGGAGAAGGAGAACCATAAAGTGCAAAGACACTAATCTGGGGGAGATGCTGGAGGCTTGTGCCAAAATGGAAATGCTGGAGCTGGAAGAAAGAATCTCCAGAGCTGGTCTCGGGATCATTGTTATTCAATATATTCATTGGATACTGGCTAAGACAGGAAGAACAAGCTGGAAATAGCTGTGGTTGATACAAACAGGTAGAATGAAGTACTGTACAAGAGGTATCTGATAACCTTCAGGCCTGGGGTAACAGAAAGCAGATAAAAATCGAAGTTTCAAAGTGCCGAGTGAGAGTAAGAGATCAGTAGCAAAAAAAGTCCAATACACTCTGGGACCTTGTTAAATAAAACAGCAGGAGAGGAGAGAATTGCAGGCATATCCATAGATCATAGCTCAGTTAGGTGTCACTGCTATGATTTGATAGTGGAAGAAGGCAAATGCAATCCTCTGATGTACCAGAAGTGTTTCTCAGAGAGCAGACATTAATGCCATGGTACAAAGCATCAGTTAGTCTTTACTGGAGGGGTAAAGCATCGTCCTTGTTCAACAGGGATTTATTCAGCCTTGAATAGGGGCTATAATGACACATGGGAATCAATGAAAGGAAAAAATAGTACGTCAGGAAAGGGCAAAGGAGGTTTGTTTGAATGCAAGAAGAGTTTGAGAGGGGATGCAGTTGTACAACACGTGAAAGAAGAAATAGAGCTGTTGAAATGTCTCAGGAACAGTGTGGCAGCAGGAGCAGGGAAGTGATTCTGCCCCTGGACTCAGCGCTGGTGAGGCCACCCCTGGAGTGCTGTGTCCAGTTCTGGGCCCTCAGCTCAGGAAGGACATGGAGGGGCTGGAGCAGGTGCAGGGAAGAGCAGCGAGGCTGGGGAAGGGACTGGAGCACAAGTGCTGTGAGGAGAGGCTGAGGGAGCTGGGGCTGTTCAGCCTGGAGAAGAGGAGGCTGAGGGGAGACCTCCTCACTCTCTACAACTCCCTGACAGGAGGGGGGAGCCAGGTGGGGGTTGGTCTCTTCTCCCAGGAACCAGCAGTAGGACAAGAGGGCACAGTCTTGAGCTGTGCCAGGAGAGGTTAAGGTTGAACATCAGGAAGAAATTCTTTACAGAGAGAGTGCTCAGCCATTGGAATGGGCTGCCCAGGGAGAGGGTGGAGTCACCGTCCTGAGCCTGGATGTGGCATCAGTGCCATGGTCCAGTTGACAAGGTGGTGTTGGATCAAAGATTGGACTTGATGATCTCAGAGGTCTTTTCCAACCTAGTTGATTCTGTGATTCTGTGAAATGTTTGTGTAAGTAAACTTAGACCTAAATGATTTGTGACTCCGTTGTGGTTGGAAATTCAGAAGCAATGTTGCAGGAGGAGCGACCGTAGCAGCTCACACTTATCTAGACCTGGGCTGTTGGCATTTCCTCTCCCCCCCTCTGCAGCCTGTGACATGCCAGTGGCATGTGCTGCTCAGACCACAGCCAGATCTGCTGCCTGGGAGGCCTGGTTTAGATTTCAGATCCTTTGGTTTCTGAAACAGGGCTTCCACATTCTTCAGGAACACATAGCGAGGACAATAAAGCAGATTTTGAGATGGATCCCCCTCCAAAATGAAGGTAGATTAAATGAGTGCCTGTGGTAGGAAGTCCTTTTTAGCCCTGTGTTTAGCTGGAGCCAAATCTCTCTCCAAGGGCTAGCCAGAGGGGCAACACCCAGATGAATCTGGCAGGCAGGAACTGGTGCCTCTGTCGGAGGAGATTCCAGCTCCCCTTCGGAGGCGGCTGCAGTGGCTCCATTTTTAACACGTTCAAGTCTTGCTCCTGTTAGCAGGCAAGGGACAGAAAGCAAAACTGTGGAGTGAGGTGCTGGCTGTCTTGAATATGGCATTGCTTCTTCCCCTGGCATTTCTGGGCTTAGAGCAGGATGTGCAGAAGGCTGGGTCGGGTCCATGAGGTGGTTTTGTCAGGCCCTGGGAGGGTCATGCTCAGCAGGCTGACCCCCAGCACACTGCTCTGTTTGTGGGGGTGGCTCTGGGTTGATAACGAGCTGGTGCTGCATTCCGTGGTTAGAGAACTTAGTAAGCTGTACAGAATTTGCCATCCTTTCACTATAACAACTGTGCCAGTTTAAAAGAGCTGGGGGAGACACCAAGTGAGTTTTAGCATTTGCTGAAAAAAAGAGATGTTGAACAGAAAGAGCAGAGGAACTTCACAGAGTGGTTATTGCTCTCACTTTGCTGCCTGTGGCAGTGGCTGACTGCTGGGCTGATACCAACCCATATGATGTTTTCATTTTCCTCTGGGCAGCATTTCTGGGACAAGGAAGCTGTGTACTCAGCTATGGGAGGTAGCTAATTGCATCTGGAAATATATAATCAAAATGCTGGGACTGTGAGCTGGTTGTGGAGCATCTGAGCAGAGTTTCTGCCAGGCAGAGGGAGCCATTTATAAGAATTTCCTTTTTTTTACAGCAGTGATGCCTTCTGCCATTGGAATGTTCTCAAAAAAAAGAGAGAGGGGGGGAAGTGATGAGTCCATTGCCAGGATATTATCAAGAACCTCTCCTACGTTCCTCTGTGAATGGCAAAGCTTGCTGCTTCTCATTTATTCCACAGCAGGATCCCTCCCTGGGATGTATGTGTGTAACTTGCCCTTGGAAACATTAGGAAAACTAATGTTTTGGGTTTGAGATCCTGTTTCTTAAGGGGTGATCCTATCATTGTCCTGTGGTTGCAACAATGATAACAGTGGGTCCATTGCACCCTCTCCATATGCTTTTATCTACATCATTATCTCTCCTGGCTCTGGTAGAGCCATTTGTCTGTCTCCTCTGGACCATTATCCAACTGCCTTTCCTTTCTCCCCTCTGCTCCTGATAAAAATGTCCATTAGGGAAGAAGGAATTACTGCTGTCAAGAAACTGTAGCACTGGAAATGTTACTACAACCTGTAGGTTTTACAGAGATTATCTGCAGAAATTTATCCTGGCTCTTGAAGAAGCAAAAAAACCCCCACTCCCAGGTCTGCAAATCTCCACAGAAGCCCCAGGGCCAGGTGAGCAGCACCAAGGCTGCCCTCAACCAGCACCATCCCTCCTCAGTGTCCCCCTGTCCTCTCCAGTCCCAGCAATAGGGAAGCAAAGCTCGAGTGCCCAACAGTTGCTTGCCAGAGGATCTTTTCCAAGTCCCAAAACTTAAGCAGCTGCCTTCTTCACAGTCATGGTGGAAAGCAATAAAGTAACCCATTTGTTAAATGATAACTACTTAGGGGACAGTGGATGGATGTATAAACTGCATTCAGTTCATATATAAGCATTTGTATTGTAGATAAAGTGCTTGAGGGAAGGAACACACTCACTCCCTTTATGGTTACACAGCCTGTGATTTTGCCATAATGCCGTAACATAAAGCTCAGGCAACATTCACCACTGCATTTTCAATAACATTATCACTCTGGACTGCTTAACTGAGGCACTCTAAGGAAATATGGCTTGTCCCAGTCCTCTTGTGAGGCAGAGGGAGGACCAGGAGTACAGGAGAAATTCTTTCTCCCTGTGTTAGAAATCCTCATCTGAACACACTCCACTGTCTGGGTGGCACAGTCACCACCCCACGGATCCATACTTGTACTGAGTTGTCTCTGACTATTCTTTTCAGAAAACATATGGTAAGAGGAGCTGTTGATCTTAACAGCTACAATACATCTCTGCTCTGCAGGGGTTCCACACCCAAGGCTAAACATGACTTCCCCAAAAAGACAGCTAGTGCCACTTTCCACACAGCAAGGCTTGTGACCCACTTCACAAATCTTTTTTCAGTGTTAAAAAATAAAGTTGATTTGATAAAAACTTTTACAGATTTCCACTTTGGAGAAACCTCACCCCTACCTGTGCCCTTAGCCCTGGGCTAATCTAAAGGTCCATTTGGATTTTCCAGAAAGTTAATTTGCTCCATATGACAGACAGTCGGTATCTGTTAAACCTGCAAACTGTTGTGCCCAAATCAGCTCAACTCTTTTCCTTTCTGTCCTCAGTGCAAGGAATTCACCTTCCACACTGGCTACGAGGTGCTCGTACAGCGCCTGCTGGAGGGGAAGAAGATGTGCAAAGATGTGGAGGATTTGCTCAAGCAGAGGTATGAAAAACAGAGTGAAAAAATGTGAACAGGCTCCTTTTTCTTTCCTCTTTGGCGACTGGAAAGGAATGGTAACCTGGTTCTGATTAGGTAGTGATACGAGTTTACATAGAAAAGCCTGATGGAAACCCCAGCCTTGTGATGTGCTTTGTGAAGGTAGATAACAAATAGAAATCTCACAGATTTGAGAAGGGAAGAGGAGGTTGAAGGAGCCAGAAACCCAGAGCTCCGTTAAGGCCCCGGTCATCACCGCTCCCGATCCCACGGCAGCACACACATCCACAAGTGGCATTTCTAAGTTTCCCCTTCTACAGGAAAAAATGACTTGCACATTTCTGTTTCTCTTTGAACGTGCTATTGCCACAAGCACTGTTTCAGTTTCCTGCCACTACCAAAAACGAGCCATTTTTCAAATACAGAGCTACATAAAATGCTGCCTAAAGCCTTCCCCAGACACCCAAGCCAACCCACATCATTTGCCAACCTTACCAGGCTTTGAATAACAATGTTGTAGTTTGTGTCCCTCCTCACCTGCTTCTTGTGGTGCTGCTCAGCAGCAGCTATGGACAGCTGACAATTTTGTGGGTGAGAAAACATGTTACACTGCTGCTCGGGCTCCTTTGCCATTCATTTCTGTACTTCTGACTTAGGAAAATAAATCTGAAATTTGTTTCTGTTCTTAAGTGGCTTCAAAACAGTTTCAACGTGTAGCATGAGGCACACACATGCTCAGGCATGACATGCAGGAAAGGCCACACAATATGGATTATATACACAGCAGCTCAGCACTGTCTCCTCAGGAATATTGCTCTGCCTTCCTCAGTCACAACCTGCTTTTTCTCTCTGTGCTGTCCCCACGTAGTTTTTTTGGTTCAGGGGTTTTTTTCTGAAGGCTGTTTTTCAAGCCCTGGCACTTTCAAGGGGTGTGAGCTCTAAGACTGACAGGTGAGTGTTTCACAGCTTGTGAAGAGTCTCCCTTCGAAACCTGAAGCTATTTGAATTGCTTTTCTTGACCACCAGTGGAAGCCTTTTATACTGGTGCACATCACAGTCCTGAAGTCACATCTGCCTGATGGCAGCTTAGCTGCAAATGTTTAAAATAGCTCCTCTGTGCCTCATAACTTACAGGGATCAGAACTACACTGCAGGCTTCAGGCAGTGGAACTCTGCAGCTTAGCTGCAAATGTTTAAAATAGCTCCTCTGTGCCTCATAACTTACAGGGATCAGAACTACACTGCAGGCTTCAGGCAGTGGAACTCTGCATTGGATGCTGCACATGCCCGTGTTTCTTTCCAAAACATTACAGAGGCTTCTGCAATTTGCAGGATAAGGTTTTCCCTGGTTTGTGGCGGACTTTCCACAAAGAAATAAAAAATACATGTACAGTCATTTTGCAAATCATAGAATCAGCCAGATTGGAAGGGACCTCTGAGATCATCAAGTCCAACCCTTGATGTTTCCATGAGATTTTTTACACCCCCAAAACATTCCAGTGAGTGGGTGTATGTGTGTGTACGTGCACGTTGAGGGAGGAGGGAAAGGAGAAGCGGGCACTGAGTTAAGGAGAAAGGTATGATTTCCAGTTTATTTCTGCTGGACATTTGTCTCAGCCTGTCCTCACGTCATTCATGGGAATGACCTGGGAGCAGATCAAAGGATGGGATGAATCTCTGTTCCTAGAGGCTGCCCATACCACTGGCTTCATGCTGGAATTGCAACAAGGACTCCTGCAGCAGCTGCCCCGAGTCCTGAAACCAGCTGCCCTGCCCACACTAACATGGGATCAATTTTCCACCCACAAATCCCCCTGCCTGGCCTGGAGAAGGGACTAGGTGGTGTGGGAGTGAGAAGGCAGCTGTATTCCAGAACAAAAGCCTGGATTTAAAACACAAAATACATTCCAGCTGTGGATGGCTGCAGGGAAACCCAGAAGCTGTGTGTAAGTGTACCTAAAGGTGGGAAAGGCAGCACCAAGATGTGAAGAGATGGTGTCAGCCTCCTGCCAAATTCCTCTGACTCTGGGATAGTCCAGTCCTGTGCCTGGGGTTTCAGGAATTTTTGACCCAAGGGTTTTACAGGAGCTGGGACTGGCTTAAAAGCTGGCCATGCTTTTTTCCCATCATATATTATTTACTGAGCAAACAAACTGGGACTGCAGCACTGGAGTCATTCTCATTCCTGTATAGGCACTGGCATTAAGCAAAGTCTCTGACATGAAAGTGTTTCTCGTTACTAAGATCAGAAGCAAACTAATCTATTCTACATTGTTATGTGTCTCTGGAGTATATTTCCATTTTGATGACATTTCATTCATCGAACATGACAATGGACTGGTGTGGCCTGCCACTGCAGTTTGCACCCTGTTCCTCTGGAAGGAATCCCAAAGCAGTGATGGAGGAACACCCCACTAAAACACAGCAATTCCTAGTGTGAGAGCACATGCAATGTTAGACACAAGAGAGCCAAGGACAGAGGCCAGGAACACCCTCCACTCTGGGCTGTGGTGAGTGTGGGTTGCTGGTCCACCAGCCTGACTGATCTCCTTGGACTGGGGGAAAATCATCCCTCCCCCAAATGCTAGCACCAGGCTATCTGTTCATTATTAATTACTGACCATTCAGTAGTTTTTAGCAGTTACTCAAAGACTGAAAACTTGGTTCCGCCCTGGTCTTACACCCAGGAGGAAGGAAGTAACATATTTAGTACAAATACTTCTTTTGAACAGAAAATAGAAATGTCCTCCAGAGCTGGGGGAGGGGAAAAGAGAAAAGAAAATATTTGTATTTCTTTATTAACCATAGAAACAGAACCACTGTCCTGAGTCACCAGTTACAGTTCCCCCTTAGGTGAGACACCACATTGTACTGTCCCTTCCACTGAACTGCCCTGGCCTCACCCAACAACCAGCAAGGCTCCTTCCCCTCCACCCCCACTGCAGCTCTTCAAGCAGCACCTCAGGTTTCTATATATATTCCTGCTACTCCTGGCTCCCATGTATTCTCCTAAACCTCTCCTAAATGGATGCTGTGGAACCTACTCTTTGCTCCCCTCCTAGCCGGTATTTTACTGGGTCGGGTCAGCCATCAGTTTTAGGCTCCTTTTGCAAAGGAGGTCCTGTGTTCTGAGCATCCTCACCTCAGCTCTGTGCACCTCTTGTTCTAACTGAATCCACATTTGGGGGGCAGAGTTGTATGGAGCACTCCACGGGAATCAAAGCCACAACAATGGGCTTCATTTCCCCCTCATTTTTTCTGGAAATAGCTTACCCTGAATATTTAAGAGGTTAACTAACAGCACCAGGACTGGAGAAATAAAATAAATTGTGTTCCTTGTGGCTTTGTACCTCAGATACAATTACAGGATTTGTGTAAATGTGATCCTGATACCACTAAGAGGAATTGAGCAAGTTTTTCTTTTAACAGAGCACAAGCAGAAGAGAGATACGGGAAAGAGCTGATTCAAATCGCCCGAAAAGCAGGGGGACAAACAGAAATCAAGTAAGGAACTCTTTCATTATTCATGCAAACAAAATGATTTTGGAAGAAATATCAGACTCCTGTGTTTTGCCTATGAATGGGATCACAAGCTGCTCACTTCAGTGTGTTACACAGCACTTCCCAATGTACAGGAAAAGTGGGGGGACACCATTGTCCTTCACAAAAGGATTCATAAAATCTCTATTTGGAAACCTCCAGTAGGTCCTTTCCTGAGATTTTTTTTCATTTCAAGATTCTTAATGTTTAATATTTGCTTCCAAAAGCAAACTAAATGATGGGGAAAAAAGGGAAAGGGAAAGGAAACGGTGGTGAAATGTTTAGGATGGTGGCTTGGCAATTCTGGGAAGCTGGTGGACCCTGAGAGACTGTGACAGAACCGGTGCCAAGTGCAAAGACCCCAAAAATCAGTTTCTGCAGCAGGAAAAAATGCTTATCTTAGGAATACAAAACTTAAATCTCTTTGTAGGGACTCAATATGAAATAAATCAATGGAGCTACTGAAATGCACTAAGATGACATATATTTTTCTCTGTCTCCTCCACTACGATCTTAAATCACATATAAATTGTGTTGGGAGGGAAAGATATATGTTGGCATGGAATTTAACTTAATAAACACTGCTGATAAACTGCTGCTATTATTGGTGGCAGCAGCAATAATGAGACATTTTGCCATTATTGTAACAAGTAATAATACAGTAATAAGGTGGCAGAGGATGAAGATGTGAGGTCACAGAAGACAAGCCTGAAAGAGAAGACCTCAATCTAAACACAACCCAGCTCTATTGATCCCTGGGGCCTGCTGCCCTCATCCCTCCCATATCTCATTCCTTAATTGCAGTCTCCTTCCCGTGTCCATTCATCACTCTCAGTGCAAGCCTGGTTTCCTGTTCATGTTTTATGGGAAAACTTGACCCCAAAGCCGTGTATGGCCACGGCAGGGAAGTGCCAGGGAATCACCTGTAGCACTGACTGTGGGTTTGGTGGTGGTCCCTCCAGGCTGACAGGGAAGCTGGACACTAAGGCTCTCTCCAGAGGACGTGCAAAGCTCTCCCCCTCCCAGGGGTCCATCTCTGCCTTGCCCCCGAGCAGTGCTCAGGGATAACCAGGTTCCTGGGACACAGCTTCTGCCTTCCTGCTGTCTCAACTCACTGACTTAACCAAAGAAAAAGAAGGAGGAGAAGAAATATTCCAGAATTAAAACATCAGATTAAGGATGGATGGCTTCTTCCCAAACCAAAGATCAGAGTTCCAGGATTAAAGGAAGGCTCCACCTAAACACTTTACTGGCAATGCAGGGCAGGCAGAGCAAACGTGTTCAGCAACAGCCAGGGTTGGCTGCTCTTCGTGACTTAGTGGATAATTCATTGGTCTGGCCTTTCCTAAGAGATTGTGAAAGTTTGATTTAGAGGCAGAGCCAAGTCCCGGAGTTGGGATATGGATCCACGTTCCCCTCAAGTTGGAGGAAGTTTGGCCTTGGGCCCAGCTCCACTTTGATCTAGCAATTTTATAGCTTGGCATAGAGGGAAGGCTGAATATACCAACCAAGCACAGTGCAGAGCTGATTCACTGTGTTTCCATAACCCAGCCTGGTCTGGGGAGTGACCAGCTTTGCACTGATGTTTTTGTCAGAGCAAGTGTCTCACTTTAGCTGTCCTGAAGCAGAGAGGATACTTGGCTTTCTCTCATCCAGCATCCTCTGGTCGTTTAAGGAATTACACACATGGACAATGAAGGGCTTTTGTCCAGAGCAAAGACTTAAAATCAGAGAAAACTAAAGTCTGTTCAGGGTTGGAACAACTCAAGAAAATGAAATGTTTGGGTTTAATGCTGTTGACACCATGTGAAGTTTGTGTTTGTTTATATGACACTGATTACTGGCAGCAGTTCTGCTCCCAAGGTCAGTCCTTCAGGGAGACTTGAGGGAGGGAATCTATGCACTACCTATAATAAGAAAAGCTTGAAAGGACTATGCTACAACTGTCCCAGTGCATTTTTCCAAGTGCTTCCTCTTTATAGGACTTCCTATTATCACCTAGCACACTGAGTCCTAATTGTAATACAAGTACTTGACAGGCTGAACAGGGCTGTTCACATCTTTAAAAGCAGCTTTGAGTAGCAGTATTTCTCAAATAAAGTCTAATGTATTTGTACCTAAAACTTCCCATTGACAACCACCAGAAACAAAAGCAGCTTCCAGGGTTTTTTTGCAGAATGTTTTACAGACCTTCCTATGTATGGCACAGAAGCAGGAATTACTAATTTTAGAACACTCAGTCACTTTCTTTCTAATGCAAAATTATTATCCTCTGGTCTTAAATTCAGCCATCTTTTAAACATCTCAGATACTAAGGTGTTCTGTCACTTCTCCTGAGAAATTATTTCGCACCCCAGCAGTCCTCCATATCGGGAAGGCACCTGATACTCTTTTGAAAAGTCGATAAAGGGAACATAAAAAATCCATGCACAACAACCACCCAAACCCTTCCAGTACGAGAAAATACCCAGAAGACCTCAACAGGAACAACTGTAATGCCCAGGTTGACACTTCAGCCCAGTCAGGGCAGGCACAACAAGGCACAGAGAACAAGCATGATGAGTAAATACAGGGAGAAGCCCAGGGAATTCCATGGAATGCTGCACGAGGTAGCGGCTATCGCTGCAGAAAACAGTTCTCCCTCAAGCCTCCTCCATATTTTAAAAACTTTTAGTTTTGAATCAAATTAAAGAACAATTTCAACATTTATTCAGGTTTGTCCCTTCTCCCCCAAAATTTTGCCTTGGAGTGAATTGCTGAACTCAGCTTAAAGTATAAATAGAGTCAACTGCCCTGTTTTATTTACTGAAAGACACAGATGAAGAAATAAGCTGCTGACTCAAAAGGAAGATATTAGGGAAGGGTCACTGGAATGTAACAACAACTCTGGGACCACTTTCCATTGCTTTGAGGAAGCTCTAGGGGACAGCAGTCATCAGGATCCCATCCCATGTGCTGTCCAGGGCTGTTCCCTCACCATCCTTGCAGCTCCTGTGATGGAGAGCTGACCCCTGAGGGCCCAGCACTGCTGGTGCCTGGCAGGGACAGCTGCAGCCCAGGGCACTCCACTGTGTCAGCAGGGATACAACACCGGGACCCAGGAAAAGAGGCTCGAGTTGTGTCTCCAGCTGTGCACCAGAAACGTGAGGATGGCTTGGACCCAAGAGCCAGCAGGGAACAGGGTTGTAGCTCTGCCCCTGGAGGTGGGACTGAGTTCAGGGAGGCCCTCGCTGTGCCTTTCCCAGCAGTGTCACAACTGGCCATGGGGAGCCCCCAGGGGTCAGAAGGCTTCTAACAGCTCTCACACCAGCGAGGCAGACACGCTGCAGTGAGGGAGACGTCCTGCAACCACTTTTTATCCCATTTCTTATTTTTAAAAAAAGCCAAGAAGGGCTTTCCAAAAGAAGCTGGTGCTGGTTACCGTGGACGTAGCAAACAAACACTCCAGCTTCCAGCTCAAGAAATAAAAGTTCCCTCTGAGTGCTGTCTAACAGCCAAAGGACACCATCATTCAATGGTCCAGCCCGATTCAGGCAGATTGAGGCGTTCTGGCTGCTTGCCCTTGCCTCAAGCACTGCAGCTGGTACAACCTCCTGGCTCCAGGGGAGGTAGAGATCCTCTTCCCAAGCCATGGCACAGCCTTAACTCAGCAGTTCCTTGGCAAGTTCATTCTAATGCACAGAAGGCCCACACACTTGATTCTAAGTGCAAGGCTGCAAGACAGGTCACGCAGGCTCACACTAATCCCTTCAGCTTAATATTCTGTCCCCAGCACTGGATCCCGAGGGAAGAGTAAAAGAACAGGGCAAGGATATGAAAATATGTCTTCTAAATCATCTCCTAACCTCAGTAACTGGCAGTGCAGGGGCTGCCACAGCAGCAGCAGCTTCGTACAGAGCAGCCCCCAGTGGAGTTTTCTTCCCTTTCTTGTTTGAAACCCCGAAACCTTTTAGCATCCACTGAGTCTTAAGGCAAAGCAATTTGCTCCTGTTATCCCACTTTTTAAATTAAAAAAAATTACATCTGCATCACCATTTCACAGTCTCTAATCATAAGAGAAATTGTGAGAAGGGTTATTACAAACCTACAGCCGTGTTTTCTTGGCAAATGACAGCTTATACCCACATCCAGGGGGCAGAGAGGGAACTACATGTTCTGAAGTGGAAACTGCAGTATGGTTGTGCTCTCTCCATATTCCGAGGTGCACACATGGGAGAGGATGTACAGAAACTGGGCATTTTCAGCTGAGTTACAAACTGAGATCGAGTTTCCAAGTGTTTGCTGGTAGTGTACACTGTGGTGGTGCCTCACACACCATTAAGATGATTCTCAGCAGAGCTTGTGCCTTTAAGAGGAAGCACCTTTCTGGCTGCAAGGTGACTGGGAATTTCCATGTAGTGGCTTTGGGCAACTCTTCAGCAGAGCAACATGAAAACAGAATATGCTACAGAGCCCAGTTTGCAGCCAAACCAGAGCCTCTGGGAACTCTGTTCTTGGGTAAAATCACTGATGTAAACACGCAGTAGCTGGTTATGTTCTGCCTAGTCTGACAACATCTATTTTTGTCATTTGCTCTGCTTGTCTCTTCTCATGTATATGATTCCCTACATTTTCTGTCCCTCTTTTCCACTACCATCTCCTTCAGACCTCGAGAAAGGGTAGTTCCTTCAAGCCTATGTCTGCTGTGCCTTTCTCTGCAATCCCTGAAATGGAACATTGCAGTGAGTGTGAGGTGAGGGCATCTGTAACCAAATGCCAATTGCTGCTTCCTGTGTATAAAAATAGTGCATCTGTCACTTAATATACAGAATCCTCTGTATTAATCCACACAAAGCAGGCATTTTTGAACTGCAGCTAAAAGTCAGTTTGGAAGGTCACATCCTTCCATGGTTGATTATTCTCCACTCCAATGTTCTGAACCCACACAGAGTTTGTACACTCGTTCTTTGAACTTTCAGGACTCTGCAAAAGGGACCTAAGCCTGTGCTCAGTTCCCATTCAAGTCAATCTAAATAAGCTCTCTGGTGATCAGGATAGGCATTTTTGAGCAGTGCTACTCTCTTTCTAAAGAGACACGAGGAAATTTAGTTTTATTTTAAAGGTACCAAAGTTGTTTTGATTGTTTAAGCCTTTGATTTGAATGGCATGGTTCATTCTGGAGTCACAATTTGTTGTCTGTGGGCACAGATTAATGGGTAGGAGAAGGCACATGGAGCTGTCATCCTGTTTGCTGCCCTCCCTCTTCACTTCTCTTTTGCAATGCAGTCACAGGCCCAGGTGCAAATTGCTTGAGACCAGACAATTCCGGACTTGTTTCACCACACCACGACTGGGCTGCACAGAAAGAATTCTTGGTAAAACCCCACTGGGACTACCCTGTGTGGCAGGAGGAAAGGCAGGTGTCAATTGTGGCCCCAGAGGGGACTGTCACTGGGGTGGTTTCACAACTGTGGGACTGGGATCTGAGTTCCCAGAGGCAGAGGGTGAACAGGACTGCTGGGAAGTGCTCTGGAGACTTCATCTGGCAGAGACTTCTCTCAAATTCAGAAAGGATATTTTTAAAAATTACAATAAGAGCAGAACATTGTAGATCACGCTGATGTGAAAATAGAAACCTACCAGAAAGGAAGGTGGGGTTATTTCACACTTCTATTCACCAAGCAAAGGTAGAAAACAAAGAAAATTAAGAAAGATGTGGTTTTACAGTTAGAAGAGCCTGTGTTACCTTCCTGTGCACGAGATATAAAAGGACTCTGAATTACTCAGTTAGCCCAGTCTCTAAAGGCAAAGTACTGGGGGAAAAGGCCCAAACTATCAAGCTCAAAGTTGAAAAAAAAATAAACAAACCCATAAAAGCATGGTGTGACAGTGTACATAGTGAGTACAGCAGTCACCTCAGCACTGCCACTGACAGGGCTCTGCCAACTGCACCCCTGGGGCCATGAAATTCAGCTCGGGATGGCTGTGGAGCAAAGGGAACCAGAGCCCTCCCTGCAGGGCATTTCCCGGTGGTGCTCATGTCACACAGGGCTGCCCAGCACAGCCTGTTCTCCAGCGAGAGCCCAGCTCTTCAGCAAAAACAAGCTCCAAAACAAAGAGGGAGAAAGCAAAAAAAACCCCAAACCAACCCGATAAGATTATTGTAGCCACTAGATGGCAAAAACTACCTGAAGTTGCTGCAGTGGCTGGTGCACAGGCTCTGTCTGTTCCCTGTTATTCCAGGTTCAGGCAATCCTGTTTTTTGACAAATCCAGTTTTTAAATGTACAACGGGAAGTCATTTAACAGACATGCACAGTAAATTTGTTGTCCAGCCTTATTTTCAATGAGACATCTGCAGGAGCCTCCATGTAGGGGTGCCCAAAGGGAAGGCTGGAGCTCTGTGTTTAGCTGGAGTGGTTTAACAGTCTTCCAGAATTTACACGGAATTTTCAGAAGCAAGCAATAAAAAAAAATAGAAAAAAAGGCAAACGGCAAATTTTCAGTTTTGCTTGAATTGTTTTCAACTGCAGGTTTTCTAATTTAGCCGCAGAACAAACAAACAAAAAATCCAATTACTGCCAGAATGTTAAGCAGCATCATATACTGAGGGTAAAACACTTCAGAGTGTCCATGAGAGTGAGGCATTCTCACTCTGGACGCCTCAGGGTAAAGCCTGTATCAATCCCATTAGAGAGCCAAACCCACCCAAGGCAATGGGTAATAGGTGCTGTTAATAGGTACATCCAAACCAGCACAGACAGAATTAAAACCCACTTGTACATCAGCTACAGGAGTTGCTTCCACTAAACCCTGTGAAGCACTGAAATATTTCACTGATATAATCAGAGCATCCCGCTGCAATGAGCAGCTAATCTATGGCACTGCTGCTGCAGCCCAGGGGTCATAAAGGGAGTCCTGATGGATCCACAGGTCAAAATTTGATTTATTTGTTCTCTCCCACATGCATAACTTGGCACCATGACATATTTTCTACCCCCTTAAGCCCCATAAGGATGTGGGGTCCGATTCACTGATTTTAGAAAATTATTATAAAAATAAGGAAGGAAATGGCTTAAGGCTGTTCCAACCCACTGATGGCCTGTGGCCTTGCTCCAGTCAGCAGCTGGGGAATTGGCTGGACAAATCCTTCATACAAGGAAGAAAAGGCCAGGGATTTCTGAAAAGGCCATTAGAGACCATGCAAGGGACAAATTGGTCTCTCTTTGCCAGCTGCATTATTATACCAGAGACCCCCTCAGCCTCTCAGAGAGCCAGCACAAAGGAGAACAGCTCTGTGGATGGCTTATCATCATGAGCTGCTCTGGTAGCTCAGGTGCCTGGAAACCAAAAGAGCAGCAAATTGCTTTTCTCCTTGATATATACTGAGAAAGTGCCATTTTTCAGTATCCACTATAGCAATTTTGCCAGTTTTTGCATAACTCGAGTCACCAACAGCAAAGGAAAAAGATCTCTGGGAACAATAGATCAACACAGAGTGCAAACAGTATGTGCAGTTTGCAAGCGTTCTCTATTTTTTAAATTCCAGTATTTACACATTTCAGGCATGAAGTTGTTTGCACATTCCCCCCCTCCTATTGGAAATTACACACTAAAAAAGCAAATTTTATTCCTTGTATATTTTTAATTTTTCAAAATAATTCATTAAGAGCGTTTAGGTGAGAAAAAGTTATCTCTGCTGCTGATATTCAACTTGTCTTTAAATGTCAAGCTTTTAATTAGCTGGAAAGAATACACTTTGTTTCTTTTCTGGTATAACAACTTAGTTTCCATCCAAATTTCACACCAGAATATTTTTTTTTTTCAAAATAAACCTTCAAATGTTTAAGTATTGTTAGGAAAATAGTTAAAAATACTCAATCTAGCATGTTCTTCCTGACTTATCTCAGGAGATTGACCACAACCAATCTAATCGAAATCTGAAAAAAAATCCAACAGCCCTTCTTTTCTGGCTGAAAGTCTTTTCCTTATATTTCTACTTAGATCTGGAAGTGGATTTCAAGGCAGTTGGTGCTGAGGACAGGCCCAGCCTTTGCCCTTGCCCATGCATTTTTCTTATGCCTGGCAAGGCAGCCGCAGTGCAGGGAGAGCAAGCTTTGATTAGGGAACAGATGTCCAGCCTAAATTAACACAGGGCAATTAGGAGCTGTCATGTGCCTCTTAAGGCTCCTGAAATGGCCCAAGAGATGCAGATTTCCCTGCTCATCTGTGGTCACACATGGCTGGGAAGGGATATGGATCCTCTCCTGGTGAAGGCTCCAGCCAGGGAGACCTCAGGCTCTTCCCTACCCAGCTTTCCCCCTGGGCTCTGCCTGGGGCAGACCAGAGCTCTGTGGGGAGCCCAGAACTGCTCTCTTTAGGGAACAAGACACTCTGGGGCTCGAAGAGATGACTTCTAAACCCGATAAACCTCCAAATCACACCACAGCCCTGGCCTGCGTGTCTGCAAATGCTCTGCGGGCCTGCAAATTCAGAGCTAGAGGAATTTATTAAGTTGAAAATGCCTTTTCCAGACCTTTTGCTCTCCCATCACATCTATGCTGGTATCTCTGGTGCCTTCTCAAAGTGGACTCTGGCTAGCCAAAAGACAGAACACCAGGCAGCCTGTGGTTCCTTTTTCATGCCCTTCTGCCACCCCAGCACCCAGCGATGTGAGCCCATCGGGAGGAGCTTCCCGCTCCTCTCCGTGCATCATTTATTCACGCCGTGCCTTCGGGATGTCGAAACGCCCGGGAGCGTGGGGGTTTCAGAGCCTCGGAGGGCTCGGCACCGCCTGTGTCTGGGAGGAGAGCGAGCGGAGGAGCCACACGGGGGTGCTCGGACAGCGCCGGCCGGGGATGCTGCAGCCGGAGCCGGGGATGCTGCAGCCGGAGCCGGGGATGCTGCAGCCGGAGCCGGGGATGCTGCAGCCGGAGCCGGGGATGCTGCAGCCGGAGCCGGGGAGGAACCGGCCGGGGCTGCATCCCGCGCCGAGCGGGGACCGGTCCTGCCCTTCACACCTCCGCTCCAAACCCCAATTCCCCTCGGCCCACTGCATTTCCTACGGCTGACTCGGATCTACTGCCAAGGGGCCAGAGAGGAATGGCTGTTAACATCCGCGGTCACAAACACAGTGGGATTCAAAAGGAGGGTGCACAGAAGGAGCAGTGCCATTCCTTGTTTCATGGAGCATTTTACTGCGGTTCCTGACAGTAGCAGATTGATGCGATTGTGCTCTTTGGCCTGATCGACTTCTATTAAGAGTCTATTAAGGGTTTTTATCTCTATGTGGATCTCTGAGATTCTGAGGGAAGGTTTTTCCCCTAGATTCACAATCCACCCCTAGAAGCCAATACTAACAAAGTGCCTTGTTTCTGCCCCACAGCACACTGAAGGCAGCATTCGAGATGCTCAAGCAACGTAAGTATTTACATCTTCCCTTCTGACCTGGGAAACATGGGCACCCAACGTGTTCATTCCCTCCTTCATCCTCTTCCCCCCTCTATTCCCAGCTTTTCTATCCCAGTCTGTAGTGTGGAGGGAAAGGATGCTCACTGTGCATTCTCCAAGGCTGGGCACCCAATCCACTCACTGGTGGCAAAGAAAATGGCTTGTTCCTCGAGTAAGTTACACCTGGATCAAGTCACAAATATGAGCTCTATTCCCTCTTCCACAAACTAGTGACACCAGACCAGCGCCTTTCTAAATGTGCCCAAGACTCAAAACACAAAATGCAGCACCACTGTAGCCAGTGGGACACCGGACCTGGCCACTGGCACCTGCAGTTTAGCCCAAAACACCCCCTTGAGAAGCAGTTGGTGAACTGAGGTGTTTGTAGAGCCTGGATAGGGGAGCTCAGCGTTTCTGGAAAATGTGGGATTCCATTTCAGAGGCACCAAAGCTGACAAATGCAGAGAATTTCCCAGCCATTTCAAACAGCATCAGCCAGGTGCTGTGAAATTCAATCCATCTGTGCTGACCCTTGGGAATTCTCAGTGTGCAGCCTCGTCTAATGACTGGGCACCACTGGCAAGCAGCTCCCGGAGCAGTGACAGTCCAGCAGACACGGGGTCAAGATGGAGGTCAGAGCTCTCTCCCTCCCTCTGCAGCACTAAACCTGATCTCCAGCCCCAGAGGAAGGGGATACATGGGGGAAATGGGACCAGGAAGAAATGCAGCCAGCTCTGCTCTAGCCCAGGCTGCTCCGAGTGCTGCTCCAGTTGTGCAGGGAGGGCTCTTGCCCCTGCACTGTGCAGGCACTGGGAGGACCTGCAATAAGCATCATTCAGGTTGGGTGAACCCTCAGCAATGGCAGTGCCTGCAGAAAGACAGGAAGACCTTTTTTAAGGCCACCCTGTTCATAACAAGTGACACGGGGCAGCCACATCGCAGAAACATCTCCTAAAAAGTAGGACTTGGTATTTAAAGGATTTCCACTGACTGTACATGAATTCTGATTTGCTTTAGAAATTGAAAGTGTTGGAAACTCTCATATCCAACTGGCAATAATGCTGAAGGATGAACTGAAAGGAATAGAGGAATTCCGAGAAAGACAGAAGGAGCAAAGAAAAAAGGTGAGGAACTAGAGAAATGTTGAAACAAATTGGGTAAATGGTCCATGCTGATGACCTGTCTCCAGCCACAGGCTGGAATTCTGCAAAAGATGATAAGGCATTCCCAGTGTGCCCTGTTCACTCTATAGACCAGACTGTGGAACAAAAATATCTTTCTGATCCCAGCTGGAAATAAAGTAGTGCTCTGAACACAGGAGCCAGAGGCTTTAGTCCCTTTTACTCTCTCTGGTGTAACTGCAGATACTGTTATTGTTATTCCTGTAAGAACTTAATCCTTCCTTTTCTCTTTTTGATACCCTTGCTAATGGGTTTCTTTGCTCTGATCCTGCATGATCTCCAACATGCACTAAATAAAGAGGTAACAGCAACATTTAAAAACATAAAAGCAAACGAATATCATGCTTAATGCAACACCAATATATGCTGAATTACAAATACATGGAATAAGTAGCATCTAGTTGATGTCATCTAATAAAAATTTGAGTGTATTTAAGGCCATTTCATCCCCTGTGATCTTATCAAGGTCTAAGTCCCTTAAAAAACAGTTCTCAATAGAGACAACAGTGGTCACTCTCACACTTCTGTGGCGTTGAAGACCAAGATGGGAGAGTCACTTAACCCTGACAACACTGAGTGATGGAGGAGTAAAATGAAATATTCAGTTCTTTGCTGATTTGAAACAAATGAAAATGCAGATGACCAGCATCTGATGTCACAAAAATCTTGTGTCTACAAGGCCCTGACACACAGGAACTTGCGATAGCAAAGAACTCTGAATATGAAAGTAGGTGAAACCAGTGCTACTACTGAGATTTGAGGTGTGCAGCAATCTGATGAGGCACACAGGGCACACAAATTGGGCAGGCACCAGGTTCACGAGTGTTTGTATCTTCCCTCCCTTGGCCACTAGGATGTGCAGAAGGGCTGTTTCTCCTGTTGAGAACAGCAAGCCTTTACCTCACCTGGGAACACTTAGAGGGGCCCGGAAAACAAAGAAAAACTGCTCTGGAATCTTAGAGAAGCTTTTTTCTCTGTCCAGCACGTGGCTGTGAGGAAGCCAGCATTAGATATGCTGGATGGTGTCAGCATTTCTGGTAACCTCCCAAAATGCTGTGATTTGTGTTTTACTGTAGCTGCTCTCAGGACTGTGCCCAGTATGAAGCCTCTGGGTAACCCTGGAGAGAGTTTTGCTTGAGGAGAATATAAAAATTAAAGGAACCAAAAGTCCCACTGAGGAAACCCATCCCCTGCCAAGTAAGAGAGTATCTCACTGTCACATAAAGCTGGGCATATCACAACTAAAGCCATGGAAGATAATCCAGCACTGTCCTTCCAACACTGACCAGATGACAGCATGGAAATCAAATTGTACTGAGCATAAATTTGGCAGAAGCAATGGAATATAAAAACAGGGATTGTTTGTGTTTAAAATGGACAAGTACCTGTGCTCATGTGTGAGACAGTGGTTTGGTCTGCAGAGATGCAGGATCAAGCTCTGGCACCAGCAAAGGAACTCTGCTGGCAGAGCCCACGGGCACTGTGACTGGGTGTTGCACTATTTCATCTCCTTAAGAAAAAAAAAGGAGGAAGAAAATGAAGATCTACATCCTCTCTGCTATTAATGGAAACCACTGAAGCAGAATGATCTTGGATTAGTTTTTACCTGGCACTTTGATGCTCTCTGTATCACTTAGAAACCTGCCATTTACAAAAGCAGAGTGAAGTAATTTTCCCCACAGACAGGTGGTTTATAGAGAGACCCTGACAATGGCTTTCCTAATCCTGCCACTGGAAAGGGAGGGAAGAAGTCCAAAGCAAGAAATGCTGACCTGTGTGTGTTTCTTACAGTACGAGGCTGCGATGGAGCGCGTGCAAAAGAGCAAACTGTCCCACTATAAGAAAACAATGGAGGTGAGCAAGGAGGGCTTGGGCAGGTTTCCTGATGCAAACTGGCTCCAGGATAACCTGTATCACATGTACCTACATTTAAAGAAAGGTCGAGGCTGTGTGAGTGTGCAGGAGTGTGTGTGTGAGAGAGAGGTTGTGACTCCTGCTCTGAGGAGAAAGCCAATCTTCCCTGCTGCATCCACTGAAGAGTCCTCAGAAAGTTAATTAATATGGGATCGATGCCCCAGGTCGAACAGGATTTCATTCTTTCTAGGCAAGAGTACTTACAGGAGTGAATGTAATTTTTCAGTCTGTGTAAATACAACTTTAAAAATGGTGAGGGAATCTCACAAGTAGGAGGAATCCTCTCCAGCTGGACAGCATGCAGGTACAGGAACTGTAGGCAGCTGGTTTTGGTTTCCAGTGGGCAACTGCCTCTAAAGGAAAGTAGTTGCAGACCTGTCAGTGCTACAGCTGGTACTGTACTAACAATTTTTATTGAAATGTGGTTATTTCAAGTGAATCTCTAAGAGATCTAAGAGATCTTTTGGTGCAAATAAGGATTTCTCTTGCTTGTGAGAACTCCACCACTGGAGCAGTGGGCAAGGAGCACACTGACTTTGGCCACCTGATGCTCCAAGTCACGGTGCAGAAATGACAACCCAGCCCACGGGCACCCTGGGAACGGGGGCTCCTAATTTTGTCTCTACACAGTCGCTGGGACCTGCTGCCCCAATGGTGGCAGAGCTGCCTGTGTACTCCTGAGCACCCCTGGAGGCAGCTGCAGTTGTACAAAGCAGACAATTTCAGGGCTGCGAGAAAAGAACACAATTTATGCTCTCAGCCCCTCATCCCAATTTTTCAGTTCTACTTTTCTATCTCCTTGTGGCATCGTTGGGAGTTTTTTCTGGGCACTGATCTGCTCCCCCAGGCTGCAAACCAGACCTTGTGTAGAACATCAGGCTGGAGGGAGCCCAGCCCTGTTCCCTCACGTTTGGTTTCGTTTCCCCCCAGTCCAAGAAGACCTACGAGCAGAAGTGCCGGGAGGCGGACGAGGCAGAGCAGTCCTTCGAACGGACCAGCGCTTCAGGCAACCAAAAGCAAACAGAAAAGGTACCTCAGATGACTGTGCTGCCCAGAGAGAAAACTGGGGGGTTTACCTTTTCAAGAGAATACAGTCAACCAACCCGTTCTGCAGGATGCCAGGGGCTGCTTTCTCTTCTAATTAACCCCTTGGAATCCCCTGGGAAAGAACTAAGTCATCTAATTAATTTATCCCAGGCTATGATCCAATTGCTCTATGAATCCTGAAAGGAAACTGAATGAGATTTTTCTCTGAAATTATTCATTAAAAAAAAAAAAAGAGAGACAAGTCAGAAGGATGTCATGCATTTAGTTTTGCTTTTTGGTCTCTTACATTTAGTAGGCAGAGAATCTTACATTAAAATGCATATTTTCCCTCAACATCTTCCTCCTTATGGTTAGTTTAATTTCAGCTAAATTTACAGACTCAAAAATAAATCGTTGGAAATTAAGGCACTGCAGTCCTTCCTTGCATCATCTTGATACTTGTAGCTGACAATTCACTAACTTTTAATGGGAACATTTTACAGCGGAACAGATGGAGAAAACAAAATAAATGAACTCCCTTTGGCTCGATAAAAATCAGTGCAGTGTAAGCAAAAAGGATCAAAAATCATCTCAAGGAGTGGGGTGGGTGGGGACTCTAAAACCAGCATCAGAACTGTACATTTTATTTCCAGCATTCACTAATCTTTGATGAACGAACCCCTCCAGTTAAGCTGTAAAGAGGGGATGGAATCCTGGCTCTGCTGCAATTACACCAGAACACTCAGCAGCTTCAATGGCAGCTCAACCTGATGCAGCTCCTTTCCCAGAAGGATCCCAGGGTGTTCCCTCCCCACACAAGCCAGCATGTTTGGAATGCACAGAGGCAGCTCACAAGCTGTTTAATTCTGCTCAGCATTCACAAACAGTTTGGGGCAGGAAGCAAGTAAGAATGAAGCTTCTGTTGCCAGCTTACTACACGTTTTCCAACCAGCTGTGAGGAGGAATATGGTCGTAGGGACCCCTACCTGAGCCTTGCCTTCAAGGGCAGAGTGGGAGAATGTATTACCCTGATGTCTAGAGCTGTGCATGAACGTGAAACCATCACCATCTGGGCAGGAAGACCTGGGAGTAATGAGCTGTCAATAATGGCTGCATTTTCATTTGTTAAAAGCTGCAAGTTTTTAAAAAAAGAAAAGTTCTACTTAGAGTGAATTTTGCTTTTAGGCTTCTGAGGTGTTATGAGAAATAATCTGGCATTTGCAAAGTATTTTAGAAGCTGTGCTCTTTTCATCTGTGTATTACATGAGGAGCTTGAAAGATGAAGAATTTTAACTGCCATTTATTTCTGCTTATAAATATCTATTAGAAAAGCACATCAAACACTTGAGAAAAAACAACTCAGCCAGCAGACACAGCTTCAGGCTGGATCATGCTGGCTCTGAGCTCCTGTGGCAGGGATGTCTGAATGGAAAGATTTCCCTTGAAGTCAGTGGGCCTATGGCTGCACCTGGAAAATTCTGGTCCCTTCTTCTCCATAGCACATTTTCAACAGAACCAGGCATAAAGGCAGGAGAGCCAGGAAGTGTTTGCAACTTAGAGCCTTTCCCCCAGAAGGGAAAAGAGAGCAGGCAGCAAAAAAAAAAACGGGGCTGAAGCAAAAAATATTGTCAGGAATTAATTTGGGGTATTTCTTTTCCTATTTCAGAGTCAGAACAAAGCCAAGCAGTGCAGAGACGCAGCAAATGAAGCAGGTGATGCTCTATTTGCAACTGAACATTATGGTTCTTCTCAGCAGGGATCTACCAGCACAGGGTCTGGATAGAGCACCATCCAAATCACCCAGGCTGTCTCTGAAGTCAAGGTTCCCAAAGTCACTCACCCAAAGATTAATGAAAAAACCTCTAAAGAACAGCAACCCGACAGTCATCTGCTTTCTCTAACCTTTGTGGAAACGCAACTGTCCCGCTTTCATTAAAGAAATTATAGAAGATGTCCTTTAGGGACTTCACCCAGGAAAGAAAAGTTCTCCTTGAAGCAAGTTTGAAAGCACAGAGGACACTCAAATTGCCCCCAGCCAGCCCAAACCAGATTTATCATCCCCATGTACATGAGCATGGAGCATTCTCCAGCCACAAACACACTGGAAGTCCAGGACAGGCCAGCACACATCTGAGCTGGCTCAGGAGTTCAGGCTTGTCCCTCCCTGCTCATGGAATAGTTTATACTGAATCACATGGCTTAACTGGCTGGCTTGGCATGGAAGGAGCCTAAGGATGCTCAGTGCCCAAGCATGGTCCAGGCTCTGAAGTGCATCATCCCTACTGTAAAGTTTATAAATGATCTGCAAACCATAAAGAGAAGAATCCTTACTGCAGTATAAAGTTGCAAAGAAAAAACCCCAAAGATCCTTTTGCCCCACCAGTTTCAAGCTCACACATTCCTGTGATACTCAAGCAAACCACAGGCCCCAAGTATAAGAACCAAAGCAAAGGCCCAACAGCAGGAAAAAGAGAAAGGCTGTGTCTCTTTTTTCCCCCTAACTGTTATGTTTCTCTTCTGTGTGTCTGTATTTACAGAGAACGTGTACAAACAGAACATCGAGCAGCTGGATAAGGTCAGGACAGAGTGGGAACAGGAACATATCAAAACCTGCGAGGTAAACATTGACTTTTACAGCGATGTGTTTTATCCCACTTGCAGATATCAGTCCGAGACCTGACACATCATCCCAAGGGTTTTACTGTTTGCTTTATGTGGAGTCTCAGGAGATGCCTTTGCAAAATTACTGCAAAAGCTAGAGCTGATTTAGACGTAGCTGCTGCTGTCTCACTGACACTCTCCCTGCTTGGTCAGCATAACTGTAGATATAAAGGAGGGGAATAGGTGCAGAGGTGGGAGAAGTGGAGCAATATATGAACTGGTACATACCCAAGCCACTCAGAAACTTTCTTTTTCATAGCACTTTATATTCACCTGCAAGAACATTAGTCCTCTGCCATGGAGTAATCTTTCAAATGAAAGGTGGTGCTGGTGGAAAAGTCTCTATTTACATTATGCCAAGGATGGACAGGAGATTTGCACTTGGCTAGTAAGTTTTGCACAACAATTTCCAGGAACTGGTTGGCATCCAAATCAGCCACACATTTGGTCACAGTAATCCTTAAAGTACCTTTGCCCATCTGCTAAAGTCTGATTTTGCTGTGTTTACTTGTTGCAGGCTTTATTGCCACGTAAAATAAAATGCCAGGATATAGCTTTCCAACTCTCTGCTTCCTCTTAAATATTCCCTATCTAGGAGGGCTGAAAAGTCCACGACTGGCACAGAGACTTCCACAGAAATTATGCCAAGCCTTAGCTTTCCCAAGACGAATATTTTCTCCTTCTTAAAAAGCCAACAAGCAAAGCATTCCAAAACCTCACAGTCTCTTTTGTCTCATATGGCTAAATCCTGATGTGCCCACGGAGCTTGTGGCCTGCCCACTGCTTAATCCAAACAACCATTGGTAAAGGAGGGGCACCTTTAACACCTTCTTTTAAAAGTGCTTGTTCAGAGACAAAAATGATACTGTTTTTGGATGTGTCAAACACCACCCAGCTGGACTTTGCTGGGTGTTGACAAGCCCAGAGTCACCACAGTTCCCTCTTTGAGCAGCTGCACTTCCCAACAGGACACCATTTCCCTGGAAAATTCCCGGCTGGCTCTGGTGCTGTTTCCACAGCCCTGAAGGGTTTGGCTGCAGCCACAGGCTTTCTGTTCACAAGGGATATTGAAATACTCATTCTCCACCCTGCAGGCTCTCTTTAAAAAGCTTTTGCTCTCAGAAACTGGTCCCCACACCAGCTTACTCCCTCACCAAGATTCTTTTTCGGTTGGTAAGTTATTAGATGGCAGGCAGTGTACCCAACTGAGTGTTCTGCTGAATATCGTATATGTTTGTGGTGTTCTGGACATAATTACTAGCAAATGGAGATGGAAACAGATGGCTGGAAGCATCCGAGCTTTTCACACCTCCTAGAAAAATCAAAAACTGATGTTCTACTTTTAACAGAAAAGCTTAGAGATCAGGGTGGGAGGGGGGTTTTTTTGTTGTTTTTTAAAGTTTTTAAAGAAAGCATTTATCTACCTCTTCCCCCAGCTCAGTTCACACTTCTCTCTTCCCCCTTCATTCTTCCCAAGAGGTGCAACAACACGAGAAAATTAGATGGATGCAGGAAGGGAGTAAATTCTGAAGAAAGAAAAATGCCTTCCCTTTATGACAAAAATAACATTAGAAATTCATAGAGGCGACTCCAGAGAGCCTCAAATAGTTTCAAAAGAGAAAAGTTTAGAAAGATATTTTCGATGGCAGAGGTGGCTCTACCTCTAACATAAATACAGCCCTTTCATGCCACTACTCTACTGGTCTGTTAAACATCAAGATTTCAGTGTGATAGGCAGACAGGACCCTGACTGAAATCCTTGCAGTAGAGGTAGCAGTGAAATCCAGACCTGGATTCCTCTCCCCTGCTTTGTTTTTGTCTATAAAACATAACTTTACTTTGGTGCAATCAATTAAAACAAATTCTTGAGCCTGAACAAGCAGATGCAGTTTCTCCAGTAGCTGAAATAGGAGCCTTCAGAATGGTTTGCAGTGCAGGTCACTGAGTACCACGAGGCTATGTCACCATGTCACGTCTCCTCCTTGGCTGCAGGTGTTCCAGCTCCAGGAGTGCGACCGCATCACCATCCTGCGGAACTCGCTGTGGGTGCACTGCAACCAGCTCTCCCTGCAGTGCGTCAAGGACGACGAGGTAGGGCACTGCCCAGGAGAGCCACGGGCACTGCCCAGGAGAGCCACGGGCACTGGAGGAAGAGGAGGAGTCAGAGTGCTCCAACAACAGCACTGGCTTGCCCTTCTCTGCACGTGCTGTCTCCAGGGGAATATTTTCAGTGCAGCTTGTTCTCCCTAGATATAAACCAGTCTGTGCCACACTTAGTGACACCTACATGTCTCTCTCTCAGCTACCAGAACACTCAGTCATAGAATCATACGATCACAGAATCAACTAGGTTGGAAAAGACCCCTGAGATCATCAAGTCCAACCCTTGATCCAACCACATGGTCTGTGGTTCCCAGCCCATGGCACTGATGCCACATCCAGTCTCACCTTAAACATCTCCAGGGATGGTGAATTCACCCCCTCCCTGGGCAGCCCATTCCAATGGTTGATCACTCTCTCTGTAAACATTTCTTCCTAATATCTAACCTAAACCTCCCCTGGCACAGCTCAAGACCATGTCCTCTTGTCCTACTGCTGGTTCCTGGGAGACGAGACCAACCCCCCCTGGCTCCCCCCTCCTGGCAGGGAGTTGCAGAGAGTGAGGAGGTCTCCCCTGAGCCTCCTCTTCTCCAGGCTGGACAACCCCAGCTCCCTCAGCCTCTCCTCACAGCACTTGTGCTCCAGGCCCTTCCCCAGCCTCGTTGCTCTCCTCTGCACCTGCTCCAGGACCTCAGTGTCCTTCCTGAGCTGAGGGCCCAGAACTGGACACAGCACTCCAGGGGTGGCCTCACCAATGCTGAGTCCAGGGGCAGAATCACTTCCCTGCTCCTGCTGCCACCCTGTTCCTGAGCCAGGCCAGGATCCATTGGCCTTCCTGGCCACCTGGGCACACTCTGGCTCCTGTTCAGCTTCCTGTCCATCCCCACTCCCAGCTCCCTCTCTGCCTGGCTGCTCTCCAGCCACTCTGGCCCCAGCCCATGGGGCTGCAGGACCTGGCCCTGGGCATGGTTGAACCTCAACCGTCGAGTATGTTTGGGCTCTGACACAGCTTTCAAAAAGGCATCCAGTCATGGTCTCAAGACTGGAAGACAAAGAATACACTAGATTTGACTCTGAATGGTTGTTTCCTGCTATTAATTTTTTTACTGCATTGAAAAGCTCTGGATTTTGGCCTCCTCTCTTAAAAGAATATCCAGAGCACAAATAAACAAGTGTGTTTACAAGAATATTTGTATGGGGGACAGGCCAAAGATCATCCAGGTCAGACATGTACCGAATATAAAGTGCCTCTTAAGGGGAAAATTGTTAGAAGAGCACTAATTGTTAATTCAATGTGAAATGTTAAATGTTAAATTAGAATCTTGGATTCTGTTTTGTAGCTGTATGAAGAGGTTCGGGTCAGCCTGGAGAACTGCGTTGTAGAGTCGGACATAGACTACTTCATTAAGACAAAAATGACAGGAACACAACCTCCAGGTAATTATTCTTATTGCTCTTGCCAGATGAGTTACACACCAGGCTGAGGCTGGAGTTGTGCAGTGCAGTTCCTGTGGAGGTGAAGCCAGCTGGAGGAGTTTCTGCTCCGGCTCTTTGTTCCCACTTGCCGGGCTCACTTCCCCCTCGCTGTGCTGCCTTGCTGCCTGTGCTGCACTAAGTGGGATGTTGGAATGATCCAGGTTAAAAATAACCCTCCAAAGAAGAAAAAAAAAAAGTCATTTTGGCTTTGCAACCAGGCTCATTTCACAGTACAGCTGAAGTGACACCTCTAAGGAGGTGGCAAATTGCTGTGCAGAGATGGCAACTTCAGTCTCCTGCAGCGGTGACAAGTCAGAGACAACTTATGATGTAACTGCACCCCCGTGTCCCCTTGACAGAGGTGTCACCTCCTCATTTGCAGCACAGAGAAGACCCAACTTTCTCGTCTGTTCCATGTGTCCAATGGGAAATAAAAAACTTTTGTCCTCTCAGGAAGTTGTTAGAACAAGCCAAGACTGGCTGGGGGAATGGAATTGGCTTTGCCCCAGCACAGAGAAGTGCTGTAGAGTGCTGCAGAGAAGTGCTGTAAGGTTCACAGGCTCTGCCCATTCAAACCAGAGCAGCCTTTTCCTTGACTTCAATGATCAAAACCTCTGGGCTGGATGCAGACTGACCCAGCAAGGGGCTGTAGCAATTGTAAAGTGAAAACGTGCTGCTCCAGGGTAGGAGTTCTCCAAACACACCCCGGGAAAGGGGCCTATCTAGTGTTTCACGTGGCCAAACACCCACCACACCCACGTACTTAAAAAAGAAATACAAGATAGTTACAAACTGCTCCACTCCTGTGCAGCTGCTGCAGTAAACAAAGACTCCGCAGTTGTAAAAGGAGAGAAAAATCCCCATTTCATCTCTTCATTAGCTGATGACATGTGTCTAGCTGGGAAGATCTCCTCCTCCATTTTTGCCAGATCTGTGCACAGATCCTGTTTCAGTTCCAGTGCCTGCTCTAACACCACAAACTCCCCTCAGGAGCCCTCAGCAGTGCCCACAGGGGTTAGTTCCTGCCAGCCAGAGTGGCCAATAAGCTACACTGGCCCAAAAAACTTTCATCCTGATAAAACCCTTCCGTGCTAGGAGTTGCACAGGTACAAACATCAGCACTATGAAGGCCCATTCCGAGGGGTAATTATGTCATACAAGAACAGCTCACACCCCTCTGATTTCATTGCAGAGCAATCCCACCTCAGGACCCTCCACGGCAGAGCTGAATGCTGCCACTAACTCAGCACCGAGCTGTCTGAGGCCTGTTTCTCACTCAGCCTTTCTGACACTAGTCTTATGATGATTAAAAAATGAGATTTGGGGAATTTTTTTAAACTAAAACATTGACACTGTTGCACTGGATGCCATTTTGCTACTATAGTTTATTCTTCTTCACGCACAGGATTTAAATTCACCAATATAGGAGCATTTACCCAGGGAAAATTACATTTTCAGTGGCAGAAGGGAGAACTGTGTCTTGCAACAGTGTGAAACAACTTCTGTACACCAAGAAATTTGTAATTCTTAGCTAGTTGTTTTTTGGGTTTTTTTCCCCTGTGTAAGATTTCTCATTCTCCAGTCGCCCAGGCAATTTTCTGCAAACAGTTCTTGGCTATGTCAGAAGTCATTTCAAATGAGAAATAGGTGGGGAAAACCCTTGAGAGCTTTATGAAAAGCAAAGAAAAACCTGATCTGCTCTTTTTTGTTGTTTTTATTTTGCCACCTTCGAGAGGGTGACATGTTCTGGAAGGAGTATCCTGTTACCTCCACAGCTCTGGCTAATGAGTTTGCACAGTAGCACACGGTGAGCTGTCGATCTGTGTTATTATTTGCAAAATGCAGGAGGAAACCCACGTGTTGTTTTGTGTTGTGTGGCTGAAGAGCTTCATTTTGACCAATACTTGGATGCTATTGCTCATTCCCTTCTACCTAATCTTACAATGCCCTATAGACTGGAAATTGCACCATGGTAACAATCGAGAAGGGCAACGGGAGACCCTTAAATTAGTCAGAAAACTTGTTAATTACTGTGAGTCTTATTTGTAGGGATTCTTCACACTCATTAGCTGTATGTGCCTGCCCTGCTTATTATCTTGGCTGACCCAGTGCAAGAATGTCAACACAACCTTTAGCCCAAGTCCAATGTCTCTGTTAACTTGCTGCTATCAGGTCTGAGATAACACAGTATCCCAGACTTCACTCGTGTTTGTTCAGCTCTAACACCCAGCAGGCAGGCGGAGCGTGTGGCCACCAGCTGCAGGCAACTACACTGGGAGCTCTGAGATGAAAAATAAATAAATCCATCTGTAAAGTTAGAGTTGGAAATGGTCTCAATTTCACCCTTAAGGACACCATAGGGGAGAGTGAAGGAAATGTAACATAACTGTGTTTGAGAGAACAAAACCCAAATATCTCTGGGTAAACAGCAAATCAGCTCTCAGGAGGTGGCTGGGGGAGATAGGTAGGGAAACAAGCACAAGCATAGGCACAGAGCAGGAAATTGCTCATTAATGCTGCTGGCAGGAACATTCCGAAATCTCCCCAGCTCTGACAAAAATGCCTGACTCCATACACTGGGAAAAAAAAGAAACAAAACATGCTGCAGCCAATTCTATCACGAACACAGTCCAAGGCTCGCAATGGCCACACTCTGCTCCCCAAAATCCTGAGCTTTAACACAACAGAAGAAACAGCCATGGAGGAAAGGCTGTTTTAATTCGGGCTGGCCACAGCTCTTAAATTGGTGCTGCAGGACCACCACTGTGCTCAGCTCAGGTCAAACCAAGCAAGGACACGGCTGCTCACAGTCACTGGAATGGCTTTTGTCAAGTCCCCAGGTGCCCCTGAGCTGCTCCAGCCACATTCCAGGTGTGGGCAGAGAGGTTTGCAAACTGGATTGCTGTTTGCTCCACCAGCCCCAGGTTGCTTTGCGGCGGGGAAAAAAAACAGTTCTGCCTGTTTGAACATCTCATTTTTCTTGCCCTGTTGCAGATGCCATAGGGTATGAGAACTACTACAGCAGAGAGCCCAACAGACGCAACAGCAGCCCAACCCAGTCCTGTGGGATGATGAAGAGGTGAGTGGCAACCTTCAGTTCCCAGCACGGGTATTTCTCAGCATGAACAGCAAGGTATGAAGACAGAAAACAGCACCTGGAAAGTCATTACTCCCTTCATTGTAGCAAGAGGCAGCTACGTATCAATAAGGGTAACTTGACAGAAGAAGTAAATCTATTAAAACCGGAGTCAGAGCAGTTTTGCCGTGGCCCAGTGGGAAGAGTGACACAGGATGAGTTCATCACACAATTAGTCGGCCAGGGGTGGAGAGCAGTCACTGGTTTCCTCTTTCCCAGTGAGTCAGGGCACGTAGCAACAAACCCACCTTGCTCAAGGGAGGCAAAGGTGAATCTGGCCAGGAGCAAAGGCTGGGCAGAGCTGTCCTCTGGGGCATTCCCTCCTGGATTCCTGCACTGCTCAGCTGAGCGGAACAAAGAGCTGCTCTCTGCATCTCGACCAAAGGGGAAAAATAATAACTGTGATCATTAGGGAGGCTTTTTTTTTTTTTCTGATCCATTTCTGCTGGTAAATGTTGGGCATGGTAGATCTATTGGTTTAAATACTTTCTACTGAAATGGCTAATTCACAGTGGGAGTGGCATCATAGTTAAAGCACAAGAGATTTACGTCGTGACAAGCCTTATGACATGGCAAAGACAGGAAGCAGGCTGTGATCTCCCATTTGAAGTGTGGTGCAGGCTTGTCAGGGAGCTGATCAGGGCTACACACTATACTTTGTTTTTCTGTTGAAAACCAGATCTTCTACAATAACGAATTCAATGCTGCATCCTATGCAGTTACATAAGACAACTGTATTGCCATTTCGAACACAACTGTGCTCTGCATGGGCGAGGAGCCTAGAGAGACTCAGTCTGAGTTTTTCAGGAACTGTGGAGTTAGGATATCCATTTTCCAGACACATCGAGTGTTCACTAGCTGAAAAAATTATACTGTTTAAATGTGCCTTAAGCATGCAATGCTATTTCCATCTCTGCTTGAGAATCCTAACCCATTTTCTCACTTTACTTAGTCTCCAGTACCCAGCTGTGATAGAGGAAATAACTAGGGATAGATTAAAATAAAAATTCACTTAAACTCACAGTTTTTAGAAAGGCTCGTTATACAAGCTCTGTATTTTAAATTGTATCAGTTTTCCTTAAACACAAATATATGTTAACCTCCTATAAACAACTGACAATTCTCCTGGTATTAACATTATGAAATAATTGGAGTTTCACACTATGAGTCTTTGGATCCACAACAAAATACCATCCTGCTGCATGTTATGCACAGTTTAGTGATGGCTGATGGTTCAGTATTCTGCTGCACTTTAAAAAATGTATTTCTAACTGCAGATAAATATATCTACAGCATAAATGAAAATAGAAGGCCATGGGAAGAGGTGACATCTACTCAGTGTGAAGCAGATGGAGGAAAGGCTGAGTCAGAGAGCTGAGATGAAGGAATGCTCATCCCCAGGCCTGTTCACTCATTTTGTCATTGGCTTCTCTTGGTTCTGCAGATTCTCTGGACTCCTGCATGGGAGCAGCAAAAACCACACGGAAATTGCCACTCCTTCAGCCCCTCCTCTTGGTATGACTCCGCAGGAAATCAGTTTACCAGATGTGTTTGGTTTAGATCACGTTGCTAAATCAGGCTCTGACATGTGGCAGACATTGTACAGCAGATATTCACATGTTGGTAGTCAAAATAGTCTGGAAATGAATTTCGTGTGGATGTGTACTAAATAAATTTCTCAGTTTCAAGTGCCAAATAATCCACAGAATCTTCAAAACCTCCATCTAGGGAAGGGGGGACTGTACATTCAGAGCAGCACAGTCTGACTTAGATATTAGTTTTCTCTTTGTGTGGAATACACTGCCTCTAAAAAGCCCGAGGGAATACATAAAGCTTTTAACAGACCAGGTTCATGCTTTATGAATGCAAATATCCATCTCATCTAACACCTACGCTGTTGTCTTGTAACCCTTACAACTAGAAATTTACCAGATGATATTTAAAACACTGTATTTTGACTTCGTAGAAAGTAACGGCTTATGGCATTTTTATTGGTTTGATAGTAAATAAAACCATTTTAACTGTGATTCATGCAGCAGGAAGAAAATAAAAAGTTGTTTTAAAACAACAGCTTTAAAATCAACTGCCTCTGTCAGGCCTGCCTGCTTGGGCACCCAAAACCAAAGCCCAGACTATCTCACTTACTGCGTTTGGTGCTCAGCAGGGGAAGCTCCCGGACAGATGCTGAGAAGGAATAAGAGTTTGCCCTGATTACAACAAGCTGGATTAAAACAAAACATCTGCAAAGAAGTTATGTCCATGACAAATAGCTATTTGAGAACTATATCAACCATTGGAAAATTGTCTGGTGACCCACTGGCAGAGTATTTTCCATTTTTCTCAAGGGAACTGTGTGAGTCACTGGACTGCTAGAATTTTATGCCCCCAGTAGCAACCATTTTAATCACAGCATTGCCCTCCTTGGACTGTTTTTTACCATGGTAAACATTTTTCCCAACCTGGATGAGGCTAAAGCTACTTTCTGACCTCCCACAAAGTTCAGTGGGTGCATTGTCATCTAATCAATGGGGGACAGTTTTTGTGCAAGACTTTACCTACAGTTCACAGCAGCTTTTCTATACATGTACATCTCCAGGCAGAGAGAGAACAGAAACCCTTGTATTTGTGAAGTCTTGCATATGATCCCACGCATTTATAAGCAACTGAACTCTTTGTTTCTGTGGTGGGTATTTTTTCCTCATTTTTCCCCCCTAGCAGAGAGAACAGATGGAGTCTATGCATCCATTTTTGTAAATGAAGAAGCTGGGATCACATCATCACAGGACTACAGAGTACTTTATGACTACACAGCCCAGGTAAAACAAGGCTTCAAAATAAATATTTCATAGCATCAGATTTAAAAAAAAAAAAAAAAAATTATGCTGATTCAAACATCTTGAAAGTGTTAATTCTGTGCAGGAGATGTTATTGTCACTTTACAGCCACGACTGGTCCTGCTCTGCTGGCTCTCCATGCTGGAGAGGGCTGACTCCCTATAAATGACACTCTTTCCCTACACTCCCCTGTTGCAAGTTGCAGAATCACAGTGGATGTGGTTCCTCTATCGAAGGATTGTTACAAAGAGCACCCTGCATCCTTAACTGGGAATTGAACTCTCTCTGACTTCAGTCCTAACTAGGCAGGATACCTGCAGTAAAAGGTGAATGGACCAGTTGTGAGTATTTACTTATTCAGATGGACTCCAGAACCTGGACTCCAGCCTGCTGCTTTGCTTGTCAGTTTAAGGGTCCCTTTATTAGCTTAACAGAAGGAACAGCATCCAGGAGGTCTTATGTTACAGTGCAGAGAGAGCATCACACCAAGGGACTTGCCATCAATAGCCAACAGTGAAGAAATGCTGACAGGTGACAAAATAGAGAGCCAGATAAATAATGAAAACAGAGAAAGGGCTCAAAAGGAGCACTTTCTCTTAGGTACAGCAGTATTCCAACTCCTTTTATTAGATTATATTTTTTTTGCTTTGTTTTAAACACTCTTTTATTATTATTTACTGAAATTTCATCTAAGCACAGCTGAAAGTACCTCACTGCTAAAGGCAGTTCCCCTGAGGAGACTACTGGATCACTTTGTGAGATCCTTACTCTGAGAGCTGCCTTAAAACTATGACACACACGGATTTTCCCTGCTGAGAAAAGAGCCTGTTACTACCTTTAGTATATTGTACATTGAAACCTCTCATCTTTTGAGTCCATTCTTACCCACTCAGGTACATTAAATTTAGTTTCAGCTGACACATCAAACATCTCTGGAAGCCTCTCTTACCCTGTTTTCTATTTTACTACGCTGCAGGCAGCAAAGTGGTTTCCTATGGAAAATAGGCCAGCATGGGCTGATAGCTGCCTGTGAGCTCAGGGAGAGCTTCCCTGCAGCCTCTGCAGTTGTGTCGGGGATGGAAGGCACTGCTGTCGGGAAGAGTCGCTGTACCTCCACTGGTCACTGCTGCTCCCTGCTAAAAGAACTGGGAGACCTATTTAAGGCATGGATTAACAGAGACACTGTTATCTCCCTTGGGAATTAAGCTGTGCTCTGTTTTATTTAGCAACACCTGCAGACTATGCAGGTCACGGTTAGCTGGTTTAGGACAGTTGTATTTAACCCCTTGTGGCCTTCCCCAATGTTGTCAAGTTGCACAGGAGGAGACACCACGGAGGCTGGGCAAATGTGAAGGTCTCAAGGAAATAGCCAAAATGCTTAATCCCTCACTGTCTGGTATTTCAGGCTCATTCCAAGCAGACAGTTGATGAAGGGCAGGATTAAAAAAATCCCACCACATAGATGCTTGGGCCCTCCTGTGCTCTCAGGCTAACCACATTGCTTTTCCCTGTCTCCTTTCAGAGCACGGATGAACTGGACATCAGTGAAGGAGACATCGTAGTTGTCATTGAAGAAAACGAGGATGGCTGGTGGACAGCAGAAAGGAATGGGCAGCGAGGCTTCGTGCCAGGGTCTTATCTTGAAAAGCTTTGATGAAAAGAAGCCCCAGCCCTCAGACTTTAAAAATATTCTATTACTGAAAACAACCTGCACACAAGGTCTGCTTCAGGGATGACCAAGGGCATCCCATAATACTGTTTTCTGCAACTACCAGTCAGGAAATAACCAACTGACCGTGCTCTCCTCTTCCTTGCTCCTACCCTGTTCCAGCATCTCCTGGCCTACACTGTCTGCAAAATCCATCTTCAGCCCTGAGAGATCAGGACTTGCTTTTCTTAGCCCTGTTCTCCCACCCTCAGCACACTGTCCTGCCAGCAGTGTCACAAAGCTCAGCGAACCTGGGAGGGAAATCCTGCTCAGACCTTCACTGCACTGAAGGAAAAAGGTCACGGAAGCAAGTGCAGTTTCTGCAGGATGGAGGACTGCCTCCAGCCAGCCCGTGAGCCACCCTCATGGTCACTGCAGCCATGGATCCCCTTCTCTCCCTGCACAGGTCATGCTGGTATTTTTGACAGTGGACTGACTTCTTCATCAGGGTCACTGATGAACAGAAGAAAATCAGTGAATGCAGCTAGAGAGGAACACCTGAAGGACAGAGACACATCTGTAGTAAGGAAAGTTCAGGCACTCCCCACCACAACCATCTCCTAATACAATGAAATCCACACTACCCATGGCTCTGCTTTGCACTGGATTCTGGACAGATGATAAGCCCAAGGCCTCGGTTGAAAGTTTCCCTAACACCTCTCTGGGATTTTCAAGTTTAAAAACCCAACAACACAACAGATAAGCCAAGCCTCCAGCAGTGCTGCTCTGATCCCCCTCTGAGCACCAGGGGATTGCCAGTCACATCCTCACACAATCTGCAGCCCAGTGTCACCAGGGCATCCTCCCTTCCACCTGGCTCAGCCTCTCCTCTCCTGCTCACAGGCTTCTTTGTCTCCTACTGCTGTCTACAGCCTCTGCACCTCTGGGATTGCTGGCACAGTCACATCCTGGCTCCTTTCCAGGCACTTTGTTCTTCAACAATCCCTCTTCCCAGAAGTCACACTGTGCAGGTTCACTGTATTTCACAGATTTCAGCTCTATCAGTCTTTCTAGTTCAGTATTTAAGAATGTCACTGTGCTTACCAAGGGATTGATGGATGGTTTCTGCCACTCTTCCCTTTTCAAAAAAAAAAATAAAAGTCGGTGACTGAATCAGAGTGAACTGTTTCTGGGGGCAGAATGACCCTCTTTGCCAAGGTTTCAGGTCTTAAAACTGAACAAAGACAATGAAAATTAATCAAATTGCTACCCAAAAGGCATGGAGCAGGGAGGAACTGTTAGCTAAGACACAGCAGGAACGACAAAGAGAAATTTCAACAAAAGAAAAAAGCTGCAATGGTCAATGCAATTATTCCTTAAATGAAGCACAGTGAAGGTCAGAGGCACTTGCAGTACCTTATTCTAAGTCTTCCTTCAAGAATGGAATAGCAGTTGCTGCAGGCCCTTTCTTTAGCTCCCTACAGTCCTTTGCACTTGTCCTTCCCTCACTTCCCAAAGTTATAATGCAGCACATCCACATCAGTGCTGAAGGGCTCCCAGAACCTGGCACTAGCTCAGGCTCGGAGGCACAGGAGGAGCTGGAATGGCAATTGAGGCAGCAGTGGCAGAACAGCAGTGCTTGCCCAGGCTGAGGAGGTAACGACAGCTTTGGCTGAATTGAGCAGTGATAGAAGGTGCACAGTAACCTTCAGCTTGGCCAGGGCCCTGCCAGTGGGGGCTGCCAGACAACTGCAGCATCACTCCTTAGCTGCAGCAGGAGAGGAAACCTAAAACATGGCAGATTTAATATATTGACTTCTTGAACACTCAAAAGAGAACTGTAATAAAGCAAGAAATGAATTTAGGTAGGTATTTTGCAGATTATCTTAATTAAACAGAAAAAATAAACCACTGAGATGCATCTCCTCCAATTCTGTGTGACACGTGGATTTTGCAGGGATTCCTCACCTCTCTGGGGGCCCAGACAACCTCACACAAGACACTGCAGTGCCCAGTCCTGATTACCCTGAAATCCTATTACAGATTATCTTTGCTTCCATGCACCACATGGTCCACATCACTGACAGACTGACAGTGGAACAGTGACTGCTGTTTCTATCCCATCAAGTCGTTCCATATTTTTGCTGTTAAGGTCAGGAAATGGTTTTCCTTTCTACCTCTCTCTTCTTCTGTCAGATAAATACTGTTAAAAGGCAAGAAGAGGCTGTAGGTGTTTCAAAATCTACCCGGTGCCATAGCATTTGGGTGCCACATGCTGACTGCAGACTGTTCAGGAAACAAAAACACAGCAGCAATGCTTTCTCATGGATCCTCTCCTCGTCCAGATAAGGCCTGGTAACTACTTATCACCCCAAATTCTTCTGTTTGCCCTATCAGTGTGGCAGCACTTGTCACAAACAGAACAGAGATATCAAGAAATACCCACACCCTCTCAGTACATCCACATTTTAGGTGCCATCCACCTACCCCCATCAGCAGGAAATGCAGGAAGGACAGCTGTAGGTTAATGCTGTAATAATATTGCCTTACTAACATTTCCTCTCCAGTTTGGTAAAATTCGGGCGACAAAACCGACACAATCAAGTTATCATTCAATTTTCAGCTAGGATGGGAAACTGAAATGAGCCCTCTCGAGTGGGAGGCATTCTTATACTAAATTCCAACATTTGTGGTTAAAATTCTCTTTGCACAAACACTTCAGGTAAGTCTCCACTTTCATTTTGACTACCATTTTTTTGGCAAGGAGGTGCCAAGCAGCATGGAGGACAAAAGAGTGGCAAAGGTTTGCCTGTCGTGTGAATTACCTACAGCCTGTGACTAGAATGTACAGACAGACAAACTAATTAAAGAGAAGCTACAAGGAAGTAAGTGAGCTGTTTATGACTTGGCACTGCAGGCCTTCAGTTTGTTAACTCTAGAAATTTTGACTGGGCTGTAAGAAATAAGCATCATCTATCCATTAAATACAGATAATTAGATGGACTTTGGATTTGAGGAATATGGTTGTGAGAGTGATACAAGACACTGTAGTGGTAATCTATTCTATTATTCCTTTAACCATAACAACAATGCAAAGATTGAAGTAGGCAGTCCAGCCCAACAGTACCTTAAACCACACTCAGACGTGTATGAGCATCACTGTTCATTAATGAGAGGAACAGGAAAATCTGTGTAAAATAACATTTAACCAATGACAACCACACGTAATTAGGAAATGTCTGCAAGTGCAGTGTGAGGCCCATCTCTGCACAGAACAAATTTCAGCTGCTTGTGGCATTAAGAGCCCACAAGCCAGTAGCAACACAGTAGTATCAGACAAGAAACAGAGATCCAAAAGATCCAACTCTAGGACAGCCAACAGAGTCAGTGCTCAACCACAAAGAAAGGGCTCCTGCCAAGCTCACAGGTCTGTAGAGCCATCCAGCTTCCAGCATTTCTGACAACTAGGCAACTAAAAGGAAGAAATCAGCCCCTTCCCAGCTGAGCAGTCAGCAAAGCAGGAGCACAGTGACTGTTCAAGGTTTGGAGTGTTTGTCACTGCCCTGAGGACCCTGGCTCGAGCTCTGTAGTGTGAATAACCCCAACATACGTCAGCCAGAGTGGTCACAGCTCATGTACATAAGACACAAACAGTAGCAACTCTTACCTTGGATTCCTTCTCGTCTTGCTTCTTCAAGAGGTGCATTCAAGGTGTGAGTCTCCCTTCCAGACTGCCGTGGGTTTATGTGGTTTTTCCCCCCCTGGAGCTGATTACTTCCAGGACACAGAGGTAATTTTCTCCCAGTTGCAGCTCATACCTCACTGATTGCTGAATGCAGTTTAAGTGGAAGCACATGGATGCTAACAGGAGATGCATTACAAGCTGGGCATCAGGTGGTGTCTAACAGGAGCTTGGTTGGGCATTAAGAAACATCTCCCCTGAACACTGGTGGGTAACTCACACACTTTCTGGTACAATGCAGCCTCTTGGCAGTACTGCTGCAACATGACTTAGCTGTGCAGGAGTAGAAAGCCCAGGGGACTCCACATCACTGCTGTACAAACAGTCTGCACTGGAGAGTCACTGTTACCCTTCAGTGTGGAGCAGCAACAACTCTGCACAGCACAAGACAAACTGCGAAGGCCTGAAAAGCTGCCTTGGCTGCTCAACACCATCTCTTTTCCCTGGCTTTCTTGTTCTCCAGCTTGCAGGGCTGGGGCACTGAAGGCAAGAGCAGTTGCCAGCCACATAGGTACCAGTACTTGTCATGTCCTCAAAAGGAAACTACACTCAGAGCTAGTGAGCAAGGAGAGCAGGAGGACCCCCTTAGCTTGATCTTCACCTGAAGATCCACGTCTCCCTGCTGCCATGGGTTATGGGCACAACCAAGCGGCCAAGCCTTCCTTAAAGGAAAGCAGAGCGTTAAAAAACTAAACTAAAAGCAGCATTAGGAGCAGTCACTACCCTTCACCAGCTTCCTAAATTAATGCCAGTACCCATGACAAGTGTTTCTGCAGTGCAGCTGTGATGTGTTGGGCACGCTCACTGGAGCTGAGGGTAAAAGAGAGAGAACAGCTGGGGTTTTGCTCCCCAGGAAGAGGAAGGAGACAAAGTTGTGATGCTGAGTCACACTGAGCTTCTGGAAAGTAAATGGCTGCTAAGGGGCTGCAAGGGCTGATGGGCTGGGTTTTGTAGGGAAAAGGATACTTATGTGGAGAAATTAGATTTTGGAAGAGGAACAGGAATTAGTGCCCTGCCTATGACTAGGTTATCAACAAAATGACAATGACCCATCCACTGAGAGAAAGCAGAGGAAGCAAAGAACTTCTAGTCAAACTGTTAGCCATTATCTGTTCTTTGTTAGCAATTACCTAATTTCAGCAGCCAGCTCATTTTGGATGAGGGAAGCTCAGAGCCACCGTTATCTCCAGATTTGTTCACTCCTGGATCCCGCAGAGTGCAAATTTGATCTGTTCCTAGAATGGCTGGATAATCATATTTCCATCAAATTAGCCAGTGCACATGGGTACAGTGCTCAACTTGTCCTTCTCCCAGCTGCTGAAGGACGGCTGACACCTGATCTGGCACAAAGCTGCCGGGGCACCGCTCAGAGCACAGTTACAGCCTATCAGTGCCACGTGGCTCTGGTCCCACACGCTGGCCCCAAAGGCAGAGTTACTGTGTTGTTCTATTCTGACTGAGAGCACAGATTAAATCTTGCTTTTAGATATGAAACTCTAACAGAAATCACTGAGACCTCCCAGCAAAATCGGTAGAAATCAGACTTGACATCCCTGAAATTTCTAAGGGGAAGGACAAAATCATCTGAACCCACCAGGTGAACAGAACACGACTTGGAACACAGCTACCAATTTACAGCCAGGGTTTCCAGACATCACCTTGAGGATAAAGAGAGTAAAAAACAACTGCGGGGTGTGGGTGAATTGGGAACAGATATCCTAAAGTATCTACGGATCTTTGAAATGAGGAGGAATTTTATTTACCAGATCTAAAAGAGCCAGCGTCGAACAGATTGGAAAAAACAAACCAGCACACATATCCCAGCTTCGGTGGCCTGACCAGGATTCAACTAAACCACCAAATCAAGGCAGACATAAAGAGAAGTAACCTGTGTGTTAATGGGTGTAATACTGAATGAACTACAGCTGCAGCAGTGGTGCTTTGACTTGAACTCTCTGACTGAAATTGGGGCATTTCCTGCAGCCTCTGCCTGAGGGTAAATGGACTCACAGCAGCTGAAGACATTCCAGCCTAATCTTGAATGAAATTTCCTGAGTGAGGGATTACACACTTGGATTGTCCAAACAGCGCAGGCTAAACTCTCGAATAAATAAATGACTTTGTGAAGTGAAGGTATGACTGGAGAAGTCACACCTCACACCTCACTTTTCATCATGGGGAGCTTGTAATGCACTCTGATGTCAGGAGCTGAAAATTCTCCTGGCACACCAAGCATTTTGGTGATTGTTCAATCCCAGACGCCGTCTAAACAAGCTCCCATTGGGTGGTGGTCAGATCAATATTTGCAATGGAAGATCTTGTACAAAAGGACAAATTATGTTGTGTACACAGGGCTTGTTTTGCAATAGGACTGGATGGCTCGTGGGCAGGGGGTTGCAGACATGAGATAACACTCACACTCAATGCAGGGAGCGGGTGGGGGGGGTACAGTGCATTCCCTTCCACTCTGCAAGGGCACAAACGCTCAACAGCTGCATTTAAAGAAGAATTGTTCTCAAATTTTAAGCCAAAAACAGCCCATGGAGGAACTTCTTGGGAAACTGGTGAACTTTAACCTTCCCAGGATAAGAATGCTAACATAAGTGTGAATGGGAAAGCTTTCAATGCACTGATAGACATGAGAAATGCTTTGTCTTTAGAGAAGGGCTGCACAGCCCTTCTTGTGTCTGAGCCCTGGGTGAGGAAAGGGAGACTTAAGCGACAGTGACTTTGTTCTGCTAAGTGGCAGCTAAAGGTTTACTAGGTCACTGCTCCATTCAGCAGCCATGGGGGGATTCAAAAA